AATATTTTTCATATCATTGTGGTTGTTGAGGATATTAATGACCATGCCCCTCGATTCCATAAAGATGAAATAAATTTAGAAATCAGTGAATCTGTATCCGAAGGTGCACGAATATCCCTTGACCCTGCCACCGACCCCGATATAAACATGAACTCAGTTAAAGATTATCAGATAAATCCTAACCCTTATTTCTCATTAATGATTAGAGTTAATTCCGATGGTGGTAAATACCCAGAGTTATCTTTGGAGAAGCTCCTAGACCGGGAAGAGCAGCGTTCTCATCGCTTGATACTGACTGCCTTGGACGGGGGAGACCCACCACGAAGTGCCACCGCTCGAATAGAAATCTTTGTCAGGGATGCCAATGACAACTTCCCGGTGTTCAGCAAAGATGAATATAGAGTCAGTGTTAGTGAAAATCTGCCCCCCGGATCCTCCGTGTTGCAGGTGACAGCCACTGACAAAGACGAAGGGGTCAATGCAGAAGTAAACTACTACTTCAGGAGTACCGCTCAGAGTACAAGGCACATGTTCTCACTGGATGAGAAGACAGGTATGATTAAGAATAACCAGTCATTGGATTTTGAGGATACAGAAAGATACACCATGGAAGTGGAAGCAAGGGATGGAGGTGGTCTCTCTACCCAATGTAAAGTAATCATAGAAATCCTAGATGAAAACGACAACAACCCCGAAATAATCATCACTTCTCTCTCTGATGAAATTTTGGAGGATACTCTTCCAGGAATGGTGGTGGTTCTCTTCAAAACACGGGACAAGGATTTCGGAGAAAATGGAGAAGTTGTCTGTAACATAAGAAGGGATATTCCTTTCAAGATTTATTCCTCTTCTAAGAATTACTACAAGCTGGTGACATATGGACCCCTAGACCGAGAACAGACTCCGGAATACAATGTCACCATAACAGCCACCGACAGGGGCAAGCCGCCTCTCTCCTCCAGCACTACCATCACCCTGAACATCACCGACGTCAACGACAACGCGCCCGTTTTCCATCAGGCCGTCTACGTGGTCCATGTGGCCGAGAACAACCCTCCAGGCGCCTCTATTGCGCAAGTCAGCGCCTCGGACCCCGACCTGGGGCCCAACGGTCGCGTCTCCTACTCCATCGTGGCCAGCGACCTGGAGCC